CAGGCGGCCGTGCCCCTGGTGTCAGAGACCCACGGTGGCGAGGACGTGGCCGTGCTGGCCAAGGGCCCCATGGCGCACCTCTTCCACGGCGTGCAGGAGCAGCACTACATCGCTCACGTTCTGGCCTACGCCGCCTGCCTCGAGCCCTATGCCACCGAGCCTGCCTGCGGGGAGTCCCGCAGGGCGTCCCATGGACCTCAGTGCTCCTCACAGCCCGTGCTCACTCTCCTGGCCCTCTGCCTGGCCTCCCACCTGGCAGGGGGCTGAGAGCCATGCTTCAACCCGGCTGCCCCTGGCCCCATCTGCCATCTCAGTGGCCAGCTCCCCACTGTGGTCAACCTCAGGGAACATAATAAAACTCAGGTTGCTCAACTTCATCTCCCCTCCAGGGGTTTGCAGCTGTGGCTGCCTCTTAAGGAGCTACCCATGCCTCATTTTCCCCTATTACTCATGGGCCACCCCGGGATGCCTACAACACTGGAGGCATTGGGATGAAGCAGGAGATGAACCAAGGGTGAAGGGAGGCCCTGTCCACCCAATCTCAGCCCTGGTCATGGGGGTACCCCACTGTGGGATGGTTAGGGGGAGCTTGTGGGGCTTCAAGCTGCTGCACCAGGCTGGGGTGCAGCCTGGCAGAGGGCTTGGCACTGTCCTGGCAAGGGCTGGGCAGTGACTTTTAGTCCACATGAGTGGATTTTGTGCTTGTGGAAGTGTGGGACAGAAAGCAAAGCTGCTCGGTGCACAAATGATCCCTCCAACGAGCTCTCCTGATGCCCTCTCAGCCCCAGGTCCAACGCTCAGCCCTGCCCGCTGCACTCTCCTGGCCAGAGCATCCCTCGCACGCAGGACTCTGTCCCCTCCTCACCTGGCACTGCGACACCACGTCTGGGGAGGTGACCCCTGCCAGGCACTGCCCGTCCTCTCCCCGCCTCCCCCGGCCTCCGTTTGCAGCCCCTCTGAATCCACCCATCCATCTCCTCGGTGTCAGCAATTAGCCAGATTGATAAAAAGACGTCGGTAGCCCATCCCCATGGCCTTTGCGCTGGCTGCCCAGCATGACGCCAGTATATCAGGGAAAGGCCCAGTACCTCCACCTGGCTACGCGCCCCGCTTATCCGAGTCCAAAGTCCCCACAACCCCAGCTCTGCCGAAACTGGAGGCTCTGCAGCCGTGTCGGACATCCAGATCCCACTATGCAGCGCCTGGCACCCTTCGTGCTCTGCCTGAGCCTCTGGGCTGGGCTTGGCAGCACCATCATCCCAGGCAGGAATGGGCCCGGGGGCTTTCACTGGCGGGAAAAGGGGGCACCTGGCAGGGCATGAGCTGCCCCTGGGGTGGATCTGGGGGGAGCAGGGGCTGCACAGCTCTGGGAGGGTTAATGGGTGCTAGGGGGCATCTCTGCTTTTCTGGAGACTTTGGGCTTGTTTCCCCAGGGGATTGAAGGTTTTTTTTGGGGGGGGGAGTGGGGTGGGGAATGCAAGGTGCCTGTAGCCCCCGCACAGTTTTGGCCCTCATCCCACCTGGTTCACGTGGCTTTTCAATCCCCGGCTGTGTTTTTCCATGGGTGGGAGCCTGATGGAGGCAGCGGGCCCAGGGATGCCTGGGGATGCTGGGTGCCCTGGGGAGCGCGTGCCAGGGAGCTGGGTCTAACAGGAGCTGCCCTTTCCCAGTGGAGGAGGAGAAGCCGTCCTTCTGGAACAATCAGGCAGCCACGGCCATCGAAGCTGCCTTGCAGCTCCAGCCCAAGCTGAGACAAGCCAAAAACCTCATCCTCTTCCTTGGGGATGGTGAGTGCTGCTGGGCACCTCAGCTGGGGCACAGCAAGGGCACCTGGTCCAGAGGGCAACTCAGGACCTCTCTCCTGGCCCAGGCTTCGGGATCCCGACCATCACAGCCACCCGGATCCTAAATGGGCAAATGCAAGGGAAGCTGGGCCCTGAGACATCACTCACCCTGGATACTTTCCCCTACGTGGCTCTCTCCAAGGTAAATCCTCTCCTCCCCGGGCCCGGCAGTGCCCGTGGGGACACTGGGGCTGCACGCGCAAGGCTTTGCCTCCTGGGTGCAGCAAGGGCTGCAACCCCGTTTGCTGGCAGAGGTGGGGTGGGGGGGCGCCTCCAGCGGTGACCTCCTCCCCTGAGCCATCTCCCGTGTCCTTGGCAGACCTACAGCGTGGACCGGCAGGTGCCCGACAGCGCGAGCACGGCCACGGCGTACCTCTGCGGGGTGAAGGCCAACTACCAGACAGCGGGGCTGAGCGCGGCCGCCCGCTACTCGCAGTGCAACACCACGGCGGGCAACGAGGTGATCTCGGTGC